GTGGCATGTCGGCATCATTCACCACAGCTCGAGCCCCGAGACCTTGCCTTCAAGCTTAGGCTAGCTTCTTGCGTTCTAGGAACAACAACATTTGTTCTTGAGGTCCCGCGCGGCTTGCTTAATATAGTTACACGAATTCATATGAACAGATGGCCTTCGAACTGTGCCATCGCTTGGTTCTATTTCGTGGCCGACGGAAAAGAGGGATTCTACCCCCTCTTTTCCGCACCCAACTCCGCTTTATAATTGTTTCAATTTTAAAAATCAAGTCATTTCTTTCATAATACAACATCTATAATATGGCTTTGTAAGTAAGTATGTGAGTAAATGAGAGAATACCAGTCTTCTCTTAGTCAAGATAACATCAGGTGGGTAGTTAAGGAGGGCTTACTTCGACTATAAGAAGGTTGGTTAGATAGAATAGAGTAATTGCTACCTAAGCAAGCACTGATTTATAGGGACCACCTCGATCCAGCCGGGCTTATGCAGTCCGGGGTTCCCTTGCTGGAAATTTAAAACTATCTGAAAGATTCGCTACGCCCAACCCGGGTGTCAGCGGCGAGGCCCTGCGCACTGTGGCACCTCCAGATTGTAAACGATAGTCTGGAGGAACCCTCCGTGCAACGCGAATGTAGAGGAGGTTTGCGCCACCTCCCAAATGGTTAGTTACTGGTTTGCGAAATACAACAAAGTCTGAAACGGACTGTTATCTAACTGTTATCATGATTAATGCCTCGAAGGCCACTCTGTGCGCATACTCACACCCTACATGTACATCTCGGGCGCATGGTGCAAATTTCCCCAACAATAGGACGAACTATCGCGGGACGCCGTAAATATAAACTAGGCTTCTAGACCCAGGTCTGGTCCTGTTATATAATGATAATGCTGACCCGGTTCCTCGGGATCGAGGGTTTCCATCCTAGATGCACCATCTAAGCCCCCACCAGAAAAAACCTAACTCGAAGAACGAAGCCATCTCGAACAAATACCACGGCTCAGGTAGCCGTTAACTTTCACGGCGGCCTATATAAATCTAGCCAAATACTAGGTACCGAACCTTTGGAATGTATCGGCTCCTCATTTCCCTGATATTAGCCCCCAAAGCATGGTCAACCGCACCCGAGAAGATAGAGTCAGACATCAATTCCGGAAATTTTACGACGCTAAAAATAAAGAATAATGGGACCGACGCCCAATTAAACGATACCTCCACGACTGGAGACCTCACTATCGCCAATAGCACGTGGGGGCTAGGGAGCGCCACGCCGGAGATAAGATTGCTAAATTACTCAATCCCCTATATAAAACCAACAAGTGCAAAGCCTGAAGATACACCGAGCATAAATATGACGAATGTTGGAAATCTCACGGACCCAAAGCAAGAGATATCAACTTCGAGCGTAAAGGAGCATCGATACATCTCACCCTCTACCTTCTATAGTTTCAAAGTCGTCTGTCCAACACTCTCAGAAATACTCGGCGACGGCCCGGACTTTGACAGGCGAATGAACCAAGACCCAAATCAATATCGCACTTTTTCATCTTTTCCCCAACGGCGCCCATCCGCAACCGAAGACCTCGAAGCCGCCGGTATATTCCTTCAATCTCTCCTCCAGATCTGCTTAGACTGCATCGAGTGCGACCCCCAAACCGGTCAACTAAAAATAGTCCCTCCAGGCAGATGCAGGTCCGCTGATACTGTGGGCCGGTGTTCTAATTGGTTGAATTGCTACTGCGAACTCGAGCTGAAACAATTTATCTACCGCGAAGATTTAACCGTTCCGGAGTTTATGGAGATTTATGGGGCATTAAACAGAATTCCAAACTGGATTAAGCGTAAATTTCCGGATCATAGGTTCACAACTTTAGATGGGTTGTCATTTGCTTGGTGGAGGGACGGGTGGGGTCAAAGACATCCTTTACCAATTGGGTCTATTTGGCGAGGTCAGGTATACGACCCTGATGGGCCAGGCCCTCCAGAGTTTGCACCAGATACTGCTGAACCATTGCCATTATACGGGCCGGGCCCTTCACAACCCGCGAGAGACTACCGGTGGCTTGTCAGTGAGTTTGGTCCTGGTTTGTGGGGTATAGGCGGCGATAAGCACTTCAAACGTGACAACTCGGACACTGTTCATGGAGAAATACGAGGCAATAATCAAGATGAAGAAGAGGAAGGAGTATCAATGCCTATTATGGTCTAAGTTCTGCTGGGACCCAGCGCCGCGGCCTGGGCCAATCTACCCAACTTTGTATTTTGGTTACTTGTTTGTGCATTTGCATACCCATCGTTTTTAATAGTGCTCATAATCCTATGAGATTTCACTATAGTGTTGGTAGTAGTATCTTGATACGTATGTTCTTTCTTTCGATCTAGATACGTGCGCGGTCGCCTACTTTCAAACTTGGCTCGCTATAGAATTATTAATCCCAAGTCTCACAGTTGGTCTACAGTCACCCGATCAGGCAATCAAATTTGTAAAACCCGTTGGCAAATTAGTTTCATATGAGGACTTTCCATTCGACTGTTTCATAGCAGAGAGATAAACCATAAAACAAGAAGAGAAAGGTCTACGGGCCCGCGGGATGAATGTGTAAAACTCGAAGACGCATAAAAGGGTGCCGTGTGGGATCTCAACTCAAGGGTATTTGGTAACCCTGGATACCGGGGAAACTAGACAGGCTTAGGCCAGGGTGGATGTCGAAAAAATGAAAAGCAGTCCCATCGGAAAGCCACCGAAACGACAAGAGCATCTAGTTACAATATCCTTCGAACAATGCCTTTAGCATGTAAAGACACTTGGCCCCGGGTACACGTATGGTAGTGGCTGTTCCCTTTGCTTAGTATCTAAACTTGACCAAATGCCACGCAGTTCGCGTGGTTACCATCAAAATCGGGTGATACTTACTTGTGGCCAATTGTACAGATTATAGAGGATACCGGGGTCCGAAGCACTATAGGCACCGGGGAAAGAAACAAGGTTTGCGGGACTCTTGCTTCCACCCCCAGTCACCTTTACCTGAGCACACGCTATATAGAACTGAGCGCCGCCGACAGTCGAAGATCCATGAACCGCAATAAACTCGACGCGAAGAAGATAGTCACCGGCTGGGATACAAGTTGGGATTTTAACCGGAAAGGACTTCGCTCCTGATCAAGGCGTAGTTGTGTTGTAATTAGCTTCACCCTCAATAACTTGTTGATAAAGACCTAGTTTCGTACCGTAGGTGGACCAGCTTGGAACTCCATTGGCGTCATAGGTAGGAGCATCCTGGTAAATCTTGAACCAAACTTTCCCAGATCCGTCAAACGAATTGATAGTCTGTCCCGATGGTACCTTCGCCATGTAGAACATAAGCGCCCCAGGGTGGCCAACCACAGAGTTCACACTAAACGCAACTGTTGATCCGGCGGAAACCGAAGCAGTCGAAGTTACAGGTATCGCTTGGTGATAACATCTCATTTGTGGATCGTTGACATTTTGGATTGGGTCGCCAGTCCACCTGTTCGTCGTAAGGCGGACGTACTGCCACTCCGTGGAGGTTTGCCCGTTAAACGTAAAAAGTGGGTGGGTCCCTAGAAGAATAAATGTTAGGAGGCGCAGAAAAAAATGGAGGAAAAGATATTAAGTGTTCGGACAATGCGCAAAGGCCTGGTATGCTCCAACAAGGAGTAAAATAACTTGAATATTTCTCATCTTAGCCGAAGGCTTACTGGTAGTACAGCAATAGCTTTTATCGATGCGTCGTTGGCCTTAAAATTATGACTGGCTAGGGAGAGATCTTAAGTCCGAAGGAAATGAGGAAATCCTTCACATTTTATATCCCGAACCGCAAAATCTACCTCCTCACATTCGTTGTTTACTGACTTCTCGACAAACTTGAATAGATTCCTTCTGTTACCACTCGCATGCAATGTTCTATTCAGCCTCTGGACAGGAGGCGATTCCACAATCTCTAATACAATAAGGAGCTGATTTCTAGTTACGCTATAACATGGCCGATATATAATTAAAGTTGCAGACCTTGTCTTCGGATTCTATGACTTTCCGTAAGGCTAAATGCGCTACTTAGTTCTTCCGTCGTGACGGCTGTCAACATACGGAAATACTGTGGAAAACTCTTTCTTGGCGCAGATTCCTGCCCTTACAATCGTTCCTTTGCTATAATTCTAGATGAAGTTGCTATTGGTGAGCGGGGCCTTTGGTTTATAAGTCCGTCGGCTAAAGTCATGACTCGATGCCTCGCACGCATGCGCCAGGGGATACTCCTCGCCTTTTCAGGTTGTAAGCGAGGTCAATCCCTTGGTAGCGAATTGATACATAGGATTTCCCGGCGGTCCCGTCGCGCCGGCTTCTCTGAACCACGGTAATCTTGCCCTCGAGAACGACACCGAGTGAATGAGATTTGAGTTAATAACGAAGGGATATTGGAGTCTCGAGCCCTCAGATCGATCGAGTATCATTCTTAACTCCGGCCTAGAAGCTTGCCAACACAGTCCGACTAGCTCCTCACGTAGTCGTATCTAACGGTTTCCTCGAATTTCTCAGAAGTTCTACATATGGGGGAGATTCGCGACAAGGGCCCTTAAATATAACAGAACCTCGAGTGAGAAGTATTAGATGGGCCCCTGAACAATAAACCACTCCATATCACCGCTCCTGCAGAGTCAGGTTCAGGCCTCTAGGTGCGTAAAATTACGGCAAAATAAGGCGGGCCGACTGTTTCCCAAAACATATCGGCCCACTTGATGTTCCCCGGGTGGTACTACCTCAGAGCTATCTATAATTATATAAGACAGTTTCGAAACCCCATTTTACATTTACCACCAGCTCTACACTATAGATCCCAACCAGCGGACCCTTAAAGTCGAGCACTCACAACACATATTTTCCAACAGCAAAAAAGTTTTTCCCAAAGCGTCAGGAGCTCCGCGCTTTCGAGGCCTAAAACGTTCAGGAACCAAAAAGAAAGACTCATCGTATTGGAAAGGCAATTTCCGATACCGGGAATCGAACCCGGGGCTGTCCGGACCATCTTGAGGAGACCTCTTTGAAAGCGGACGATGTTAACCACTACACCATATCGGATGAGTGATGATGGATTCCTCGATGCCGATTTGTCACTACTATACCATTTAGTGAATTATCTGAGCTTTGAAGCTTGTTCGGAAACTCCAATGGTGCTGTTAAAAGGTTGGCTCACGAAGCGAAGGCCCTCGGAACCTCCCTTGTTAGTTTGGAGTACTCGATTTCAATACTGAGTTCGATTTGGACACCCATAGCCACGTGAAATATAACAATACTATTCTCAGGCGCAATATTGGTGCTACGAAGCATAAAAATAAATACATAGCAGTCAATCCGCATATATTGCGCATAAATTGGGGTTGGGGGACCCTGTGCGGTGATATCGTGATCTCGGGATCTCGGAGCAGATAACCTGCGAGCTATTACATAAAGTTGGGGTCACGCTACGGAACATGCAGTCCCAGCAAGCCAAGTTTCATGGATAAGAGTGTGATATTTAATATTTACAAAGAAATGAAATTAAACTAACAGGGAAGGTCCTTAACCCGTCTCAGAAGCAGATATATAATAACACTAAGGTAAACTAGGCCCTCTTAACCTTTACTCTTGTGCACCTTTCGTCACTAACGCTTCCGTCTGCCCACCAAACACTAGTATAAACGTTCTCTTGCCCTAGAGGGTATTGCGTTGGGCAGGCCCACCAGTTGCTCATCCCATCCAATGTCAAGTACCCTAGGAAATCTAGCTGGAAGTCGCTCCAAGTTTTCAAGGGTTCTCCATTGGATGTTCCGTCTCCTGTAGGTGGCGCAGGAGCACTGGGAGGTACGGCCGCTGGTGATTGCGGGAAGAATAGAGCCTTCATGTTATTTCTGACGTATTCTTTGGGGCCAAAGGCTTCATCATAGCCCGCAGAAACGGGACCCTTGGGGCAAAGGAAGAATTTGCACTCTTCTGGCGAAGCGCCAGGGGTATAGATCAGTCTACCATGGGGTGGGAATCTAGGATCCACGTTCGGGTCGTTGTAGGTGAGGTCGAAGTAGGGGTTAGGATCCTTCGAGGTAGCAGTTATGGCGAGAACTTTGCCATTATCTGGGTTCACTGGGCTTGGGCGAATAGTGAGGTATTGTCCATGAAGCCTAAGTCAGTTCTGTCAGTTGACGTCTCTAGTCATTTTTTACGCAGAGCAAAGACTCACCCGGTGTCTGGGGCATCCAGTTGGAGGGAGAATGGACCGGCGTTTATGAATCCGGGAATTTGAGGAGTGGGGAGAGAGCTGACGGCAGCAGTGAGAGCAGCGAGGACAATCGAGTACTTCATTTTTAATGTTGGAGAATGGCGACCGATAAAACCGAGATACGGAGAAAATTACACAACAGACCCAAAAGTAGTTAAATATAAGGTAATTATACAGTTGCGTATAACTTGATCTAAATATCGGAACGATTTTAGCCTTACGGAGTACTGTGCGTTTTGCCCTTGCAGCGAACTTTTCGAGGCTGACTTTGATATCCAGAAGTTAGGGAATGCGACGATCCGCGATGTTTATATCCTAAAAGTTCTTACCCCTCTCCATGCATATGCAGCCCTTTTTGACTTCCAGACTAATAGCGGGCTGCAAAGTTACACCGAAATTTACCATCTGTTTTCAGCGATCTCAGAGGCCTGCCCGAGTCTTGGAAGTATTCGCCCAGGATACGGTCGTGGAATTGTAGCTAGGAATGGACCCGTGACCCTGCAGTCTTATCGGCTGCTGTTATGCATACACGCGTTGCGACAGCCATATTGCAGCAGGGCAACGCCACTACGCACCATCCATTTTTGGCAATTCGACATCTTGGCTCTAAGTATGGGAAGCTGTGAGTCGGTCATAGAACGCTGATCCCTGCCTAGGTATGGCCGTGAGGTAATCGATTAGTTTGTGGGAGGAAGGTTCAGTTATCGTTGTAGTGGCGAGGTTTGGGTCGGTTAGCAAAGCTTGAGATATTGATTCAGTTCGTGATCAAGAAAATGTTTCAATTGATATGTATCGGACCTCGATAGCGGAGCCGAACAGGTTGCATAAAATTTATGGTCTCAATGGATTCATACGCAATTTCGGTCAAGGCCCCACCGGCTGACCCGCGGTCGGACCGCCAAATCTACGTAGGAAACGTTACTCCGTAGTATCCCAATAGCCCAGTACCCAGGTACTGCATACTGTGGGAAAACTAACTGCCCAAGGAAAACCAACACCGTGGGCGCGGCGGCAACAGGCTGCCATAATATCCTCTCCGATTAGAATTTAGACAGCTTCGTTGCCTCTGCCTAGGCTCTAAAACCCATGGGCTGATAGACATATGCAGGCTTGCGGCAAAGTTCACCGACCGCCTCTCGCCTACATGTCTTATCTCGGTAGGTAGGCGATTTTCTAACCGTCGAAATTAATTGCGACACCACAAGCCTCAATTCTTTCTCGGCTTTCTTGCAGTATTTAGACCCGGGCCGAGGAAACAGGGTGGTTCGCATATCCGGAGACGTTCGCCCAGGTATGCGATAGAATGCAAGTGCAAGAATCCAAATTAAAAATCTAACATAATACATACCTTGGGATTTCTGCTACCCGAATTGCGTTTCGGAGTCTGGTTGATTATTGGTGGCCGGCAAGCACACAATATTTCGTGATAGGCCGGCAGCTTCCGTTCTCTTCGCTCCTGCCCTTCCATCGTATTTTCATCTTGCGGCTGCCCCAAAGAGGAAGGCCCCGACATCTTCGCCAACACAAATCCGAAAGCTTGGTTACGTCTAGTAACAAAGCTAGTATAGTGCCATGAAACACATGCCTCTTTTCTAATAGGTGTTCACCGGCATGTGAGTCCGCTTGTTCGGGCTAGTTAATCAAATTCATCAGATAAACTTTCATGGCATTACTTGCCAACCTTTGGATGAAAAACATACCGTCGGGAAACACAAGGAACATCTATATCTCGAAGCTTCGAACATGGTCGCGATTTCGAGAATCCACCACTGCACGACGGAAGATAATAACCTTAGTTCAAGAGACAATGTTCCGGATTGGTAAGGATTCTATACTACAGGCTGACCGACTATCAGATAAATTCGTGAAAAGTAGAGAGTCAAGATGCACAAGGGGGGTTTATACAGTCCCCAGTCTGGTACGAGTATGATAGCGCACGACCGAGGACGAGCTGGCGTAGTCCCTGACGATCGTTTCTAGGATCCTAACACTCTAGCTCTTACTATTGCCAGCCAAGAAAATCTTTATTATACCCGATTAATATTATAATAGACCAATGTTAAAGTGCATCTTAGGTATCACCTCCTTGGCCATTCCCCCAATCCCGCCTTCTACGGAAATCGACAGATCGCCTTTCCCCTTTGAATCTTCCCTCCTCATCAAATGGTAGCTCTAATACATTTAAAGCATTACAATGCTCTTGGAAATCTTCCTCCTTCATAATTTCTGTTCTGAAGTTCTTTCGTCTTACACAATCATTCACAGATCGTACTACTATGTCCCAATCATGCAAATTAAGTCTGTAGTACTGCATCGTCTGTTCTAAAGTAGTACGATGGTGTAGTTTGTTACCCACCCACAACCCAGGTAAAGCGTCTACAAGTTGGTATCCAGCTTTAACCAAATCGTTCAGGTGCAGACGAAGCCGGTCCGCAGGGTTCGTATCGATAAACTGGAAGAGGGGTGGTTGTTGTCGTACTGGAGGGGGGATTTGTATTTCGACACGCATGGCACCCGGGATGGAGACTCCATTTCCCTGCGGTATGCCGGGCACAGGCTGTGGTTCATTTTGTTGCTCGATCTCAATGTCCGACGATACTGCTGCCTGCTGGTTTGGAGGTTCTTCCTCGTTTGGCTCGTCGGCTCTTTTGCTGAGGCGGGAGTTAAGGTTTAACCCGGAGTCCAGGCTACCCCCGGATTCTACATCGCTCGAAGACTCAATTTCCATGTCGCCCACTTTTTCCAATTCGGACCTTTCTGGCGCCGGATCTTCCAAGGAAATGTGAGAATCCACATTTAAGTTAGGTCCGGGTACTTCTGGATCTATTAGACTTTGCCACGTTCCTTGTAGCTGAAGAGACCGTACAGGGGATGTAGCCCAGACCGGAGACTCTTCATCACGTAGAGGAGAATCAGGATTTCCAGAATCCGACTCTTCAAGATAGGGGTTCCTTTGCTGAACGGGGACACCTTGATACGGCTCAAATTCAAAGGTTGGGGCAGTCGAAAGCACCGGCGATGTAATCTCCTCATCGTCATTTAGGGGAGACCACGGCTCACGAAGATTTTTTCTGTGAGGGGAGTTAATAGTTTCGACTTCGTCATCCGATTCATTGTATTCTCCTAAATCGGTCTCGGAGCGGCGGTCCTCGTCCGCGGGGCGTGGTTCGGGGAGCCCACGCTGAACGGGTGGACGACCTGGGTTTTGCCCATTTCGACCGATTTGGTTGTTGACTGGTCCTCCTTGATTGGGTCCCGTTTGAGCCGGTTGTCCTTGAGCCCCGGTTGATCCCCCTTGCAATGACGGCTGTACAATTCGAAGCGCTGACGGCTGGTTCAAGAAAGCCTCTGGTCCAGGTGCTTGGGGCAAAGGACCCCTTGACGCTTGTTGCAAAAGTTGCGCTGCCACTATCCGCTGGATCTCAGCAATCTCTTCGGGAGACATGACACGAGGGCCCATTACTCTGAAGAGTGGGCGCTGTCCTTGGTTATCTGCACCTTGGTTTTGTACGCCTTGATTTTGCGCACCCTGAAGGGCTAGATTTTGGGCTATCCCCGATATTGCCATTCCTCGCTGCTCCCCTGGAATTAGCTGTCCCTGATTTAAACGTAGAAGAGTATTCAGATTTTCAGGTTGATATTGCTGCATCTGCCCGCCACTTCGCCCACCCTCTCCAACTTGCCTTCCTCCACCTTGCATGGCTTGTGCCCCTCCCCCTTGCCCACCAGGTCCGCCTTGCCCACCCGGTCTACCTTGGCCTCCTTGGCCCTGTCCTCCTCCACTTGGCCCTCCTCCACCTGGCCCTCCTCCACCTGGTCCTCCTCC